TAATAGTAGCTATATTTACCCTTCTATTATTAGAGATTAAAGATAGCTATTATTAAATACTTATATTATTTAATAAGATTTAAGAAGAGTAAAATAATATTTATACTTCTTTAATTATTATCATAAATATAAAGCTTATATTAAAAAACGTGGTAAAAGCTATTTTCTTAAACTATTAATAGTAGCTCTATTATTTTTATTTATTTACTATTATTTAAGCTTAAATTAAACGGGATTAATAAGGTGATAAGCTATAAATTATAAATAATAAGGAATATAATACCTTTAAAAATAATCTTATAGGCCTATTTAAGGCATTTAAGCAACTTATAACTATTAATAATAGCTTTACATTAAAATTATTTTAAAAAGTAGCTTAATTAAAGGTTAAGTAATAAAGTAAATATATTAAAAGAGAGTACTTTAATAGGCTTCTCTATTAAATATTCTTTTAAGCTATAAATTTAATTAATTAATAATATTAACTTATTAAAGTAGCTTAAAGAGATATAATATAGCTTTATTCTTATAAGAAACCTTATAAATTTTAATAGTAATTTAGCCTATTATACGCTTATATTATCCTTAATTTTTAAAATAATAATTAAGTGCTTAATAAAACTATTATTTATTCTTATTAATAGCTTTAAAAGCCTTTAGTAAGTTATTAGTTAAATTTAAAAAAAAATAATATAAAAATTATACCTAATATTAACCTTTAAGATATTAATAACCTAACCCTTTAAATTCTAAACCCTATTAAGGTTAACCGCGTACGTGAAGCTTAAAATAACTAAATTAACCCTTAATAATACGATTTAATAATAATTTAATTATTATAAGTAACTTAATTACCTTAATTAACCCTATTACGTTAATTAACTTAAGTGCTTTAATTAATTAAATTACCTTTATAATTATAATTATAGCGCTTAAATTAACGGGGCTTATAATAGCTTAATTCTAATATTTAAAGAACCCTTATATAAGCTAAAATTAAAGGGTAATTATAGCTAAGAATATAAAGTAATAATAAAAGTAGCTTATAATTATTAATTCGTTTTAAAAATACTATAATTAATAAGGTAAGAAGATTAATAAACGTATAAGTTATTAAAAGTGACCTATTATAAGCGTTAATTATAAAGAAGAAAATTATTATTATAATAACCCCTTAAATAGCTTAAATTAATAGTTAGCTTAATAGAATATATATATTTTAAATAAAATACTAAAAATCGCGTTTTTAAATAAATTAAGCTCTTTTAATATTATTACCACTTAATACCATTGAATTTTAAACTTATTATTAAGCGCGTTTTAAATAATATATTACATAACTATTTTTTTATGTGTAAAACACACTAAGAGGTGTGGGATGTAGGGTTCCCAGCTAAATCGGGTTAGTCGTATGCATACAGCGCTCATGCATACAGCGGCGAATAGATGGACTCAGTGGACAGGGTTTCCCCGCAATTACGTCACTTCCGATCCGAATGCATCAAGCGTCCCGATCCGACGCTTGCGCAGGCGGGCGGGGTTTCTAAGCGAATGTCGGTATTAATTTGCTTCGCAATGACATGAAGCCTCTGAACCTCATTCATAACCCTTTTTAAAAGTAATTCCTTATACTATAACTTGCTATAAGGCTTGTTATAGTATATACTCAAGAACCAAGGCTGGTCGATAACTATTTTGTCTTTTCGTTCTTCGCTGCGGACGTGTCACGCCAAAGATTCGGCTAATAGACTCCCGATTGGTTGCCGACCAAGTTACTTGCTCCATTAGGCATGGCATAAAGGTCCTCAAACCGGACTTTTCAACAAGACCGACCGAATGCGAGGGACGAGTTACAAATCAAAGTATAGCGCATGGTAAGTTTCGTTGCTCGGTTTCAACTACCACCTGCCCTGGCCTTTACATCCTGCTATAACCTGATCAGTGCGCGCGTCGGGGGAAATATCTACTCCTACAAGTTATTTGCAACCAAGTAGCTCAAGTGACTGCAACTCATTCGGTCCGAGCGACGCCCGGCTCTCTTGATCGGCAAATTGGTATCGTCCTTCCCCAGTGCCCACATCAACACTCCACAAAACTGGCAGAATCCCAGTGAGATCGGGCCATAGGTTCTTCGCCTTGCGGGAATTGGTTGATGCTCCGATGCCGTGTCATGCGTACGAGTACCTAGACTTGGAATACCATCAAGGTGACACCTGGCACCCAGTTACCAGGGACAAAAACGTCTCATAACCATCACAAGACTACTCGCCCAACGTAAGAGGTGCTTCTATATTGGCAAATTCTTGCATCAACGCCTTGGTCACCACCATGCGTTCGTCACGCGCTGCGCTACCAACCTTTGCCGGCATCCTTCTGGCTGCTAGGTGCCATTGCAGTCAATCAAAGTGCTCGCAGTCTACCTTCAAGGCAGTCTTGGATTCCATCCCTGGCACATCGATCAATTACATCGCCGAGGTGCCTCTGAACGGATCGTTTGGCGATGCCGCTACAAACATCCCTTTTCCACACAACGCCACGGGGCTTCCAGAACTTTGCGCCGCATCATTCAACACCAAAACCCCAGGAGATACCTCGTACAACTTTGGTGTTTTCCTTCCGAGTCAATGGAATGGTCGCTTTTTGGCTACGGGCAACGGCGGCTTGGGGGGCGGAATAAACTGGATCGACATGGTCAGTTCAAGCCGCCACCGCAGCCACGTCTTCCTTGTAAATCAGTCCACTTACGAAATTACAGGGCATATTCTCCCAGTATGGATTCGCATCAATGTCTACGGATACTGGGCACAGTTCTGCGGCGACTGATGGGAAATGGGGCCTGCATCAGCCGGAAAAGCTCATCAACTGGGGATATCGAGCCATGCACGGCTCTGCCACGGCAACAAAGGAGATTGTCAGGTCCTACTACGCCGAGGACATTGAATTCTCCTATTATGCCAGTTGCTCCACTGGTGGTCGTCAGGGGCTCAGAGAGATTCAGCTTCACCCCGACACATTTGACGGCGTCGTGGTGGGAGCACCGGCCTGGTGGACGACACACCTTCAGACATGGACCGTGAAGCAGGGGCTGACCAACTTGCCGGCGAATAGCTCTCATCATGTACCCTCCGCTCTCTTCGGTGCCATTGCGGATGAAATGGTTCGGCAGTGTGATGCTCAGGACGGGGTGCCAGACGGCATCATCAGCGACCCGGACGGATGCAATTTTGACTTTAATCGGCTTCTCTGCTCGCCAGGCCACAAGACGGCCTGCCTGACGCCCTCCCAGATAGACACTGCCGAAAGGCTCTACAGAAACTACCTGGATACAGACCAGGCCCTCGTGTTTCCCGGCATGTCCCTTGGCGCCAGTGCAGCCGCTCTCTCTGCTCAGCCCTCGACCCTGGGGGTCGACTTTCTCCGCTACTGGGTTTTCAATGACAGCAGCTGGGACTACACGACTTTCAAGTACGAAGACGTGCTGATGGCGGAGAAGGTCAATCCCGGGGGCGCGACAGCCGACGATTTCGACCTGTCTCCTTTCCAAAGCCGAGGCGGCAAACTGATTCACTACCATGGGCTAGCTGATGACTTGATTCCCGCGGGAAGCAGCCGGCATTTCTACGACCAAGTCTATCGTACCTTGGTCCCGAAAGGGATCAAAGTTGACGAATTCTACCGCTTCTTCTTTGTTCCCGGCATGCAGCACTGCATGGGCTCGACGGTGGCGCCTTGGTATATCGGGGGCGGGTCACAAAGCGTAACGGGGGCAAGTCATTCTGTTCCCGGGTTCATGGATCCCCAACACGACGTCATCTTGGCCATCATGGCCTGGGTTGAGAGCGGCAAGGCGCCCGACAAGATGATCGCTACCAAATTCCGCAACGACTCGGCCCTTGCCGGGGTGGAATCGCAACGACCACTCTGCACGTACCCCAAGCAACCACGGTATTTGGGACACGGCGGTGTAAACGAAGCTAGTAGCTGGGAATGCATTGAAATAAACACGACAAGGATGGATCAGAACAGCTCCGCCAATATCATCACTAAACTCACAGGCGAGTCCGAGTTGAACTCTTCCTTCACGACTAATATCGTCAGCTGAACCATTTTCGACCAGGTTCGTTTCTAGATACGTCTGGTGCATGGCGCGAGAGCATCATCATAGCTGTTTTAGGAGGTATCGCGTTTTTTTGGTTTACCAGAGCATAGGTATGCTTTATATCGATCGCATCCGGAGTCTAATGGGATTACGCAACTTGGCTGTCCACTAGTGCTTGGTGTTGTTGATTCGTATAACCTCATGCTTGTGTAAGACTTGTATGTTTACCCTTTGCCATCATTTGTCGGTCCTATCACGCATGCGTATACGTAATAAACTCACGGATTCCCATGGTCTTGGCTACAACGTTCTCTCCATTTATGACCCATAAGACTTATTGAAAAACTAAAAAGTTTAGTTGGTTATGCTCTGTGGCTCAGTCGCGACCGACGGCATGGCTAGTCGCTGTTGCAATTAGCTGTAAGCTATATAACTTTCTTACTCCCCAACAGTCCCCTCCAATTGACTTACAAGACCGGCCCTCGGCGTTGATCAAGTGAAAGAATTAGCTGCCTTCTGCAAATGGTCCACCAGGCCTGCTGCATCCAACGCTGTGAAAGGAAGTCGATTGAGAGCTTGTGTCAAGTACGCAACACGCAGTCGTCTTCAGCTGGTGTGAATCAAGAAATGCCGTGGCATTAGATGCCGAGGCATTCACTCGTCGACATTTGATTACATAAATACACTGTGGACGTCAACAGTTATTGGCGTCTCGGACGTCAAGGTCTAAACATGACAGCTTGATTTGGTCTGTGAAAGGACGGGTTCTGTGACCAGGGCTTGAATCGATATCAAGTGCTTGGAGCGGAATGACTTTATTCAATAATAATCTTGTAGGATGTCAAGGTCCTTGATTTCCAAGGGAAAGGAAGGGACGAGGAACCATTATGTATGCATGAAAAGAACAGCTATGCCCAAGGCTCCCGGCGGGTCATGTGTTCAGTCTGTGTATCCTCTAGCTCCCGCATCGGCGATGCCCCTTTGTTGGGCATTGACCGTGTAACAGGCTCGGACTACAACTTCCTATGCTGTAATGCAACCTTGTGTAGTGGCCTGGGGGCATGGAGAATCACGGAAAACTGTGTTCTAGTCGAGTTCTCCTGTATACCGCTGCATGTATATTGTATAAATTGCATTGTACGTCCTTAAAATATGCGACTTGTGCCGATTAGTGTCTACCCAACACAATAATCCAAGGCGAACCCATCTAAAATTAGCTCAGGCAAACGGTTACTATGCCGTTCGATGAATACGAAAAACACTGCATTAAGCCGCACATGTCGTGACTGCGGACGGGCTCACTGCATGCAGTAGCTGCACTCTACACAAGCAGATAGATAAGACGTGCATATTTGGAACCTGGTGCTTCATCAGAGTTCAAGTTGGGGACACTGGCAACATTATTCCGTACAAACCTTGACCAACCTCTGTCCGGGGGGGCATTCCAGAGATTCGTTTCCGTGTGCGTAACGTACCCGTCGTGTTTAAAGTCGCTTTATTGATTATCGGCCACCTCCTTTGACAGAGCCTCGGACTTATCCGTCCCACATAGGGCGTCAATACAATGAGCTTCCTTTGAACAAGCACCGGTTCACGGACCAAGTCTTCGAAAAAAGGAGCGTGCATATGATTCTTCCACTTGCCAACAGCTATGCTGGCCAGTAGTTTCTAAACAATCACAGGCACCCACCGCCTCTCCACATCTTTGCAAGTTCTTGTCAATATTGTCCACGGCAGTGAGCTACTGGACATCGACCACCTTCATTCCAAACACCGCCCTGATAATGACCCCTAACGCATCACAATCTACAATGAAAGTAAGCCAAAGGATCTGCGACTGAACATCTCCGTGCGAATTGATATATATAAAGAGCTCTTTAACCCCCTAATGCCTCTGTCAGGTTTTAATCTCCTCTACCAACAAGCCGTCTTTCCCCCTTTCTTCAACAATTGCACCACACGCACACCTCGAAACTTCGAACATTTCCTAAAGACCAAATTCCCGTACATTGCTTCTTCAACTGCAAACATATTTTGTCTTGACCCCTGAAATCCACTTTGAATCAAGTCTAGTCCACCACCGCAGCAGTCATGGACCTGGACATGGACATGGACATGGACAGCGGAATGTCTTGTAGGGAGCTTGCCGCCAGCGAAATACCGGACAAGCGCGCAAAACTGGAAGCATGGATGGAGCGTCGCAATGTCCTTTCCGCGGAACACAACAAGGCGTATGAAGAACTTGGATACTACGAGCAGCTGAAGAATAACTACAAGTCCATGTGTGATGAGGACGATCCCGCGAAGTGCCCAAGGATTGCAATCGTACATTGATGAGCTGAAAATGATTCAAGACCGTCTAGACGAACTTTACAAAGAAATACTTGAGGCCAGAGGAGAAGTTGATTTTTTGGCGGCTGAACTGAAGGAAATGGAGGAGGATGCAAAGGGTTAACAATACGAGGTTTTGAAGAATGAGGAGTGTGTTTGAGGGCCCTTTCGATAGGCAGTGTTATTCGCGTGTGGATTGGTGATGATGGTCGGTTATTGCTTTCAGTTGCTTGGAGGAAAAATGATTTACCGGAGGAAAATGGTGAATATCGGAGATCAAAAGAAAAAAAGGGTACCAATGGTAGTCTTCAGTCCTCATTTGAATTACACCGCCATCTGCGCCTGATCAATCGTCCTGCTCTATCAAATCTTAAACAGCCCCAGTTTCAATGTCAATTCCCCGACAGTGCTCTCCTCTTCCAAGATGACCTCCTTGCTTCCGGCGTGCTCTGGCATTTTTTCCAGCATGCCACGCAGAGCACTTTCAAACACATCCCTTCTGGATGAGATCACTGCATCAATATCCGCAGCCTCTGGATTGGAAACGATCGTATATCCCATATGGACATCATCGGTTGGGACGAGACCGGCCTTTTTCCGCAGCCTCTGAACACGGTTAATAAGCTCTCTTGTGAAGCCCTCGTTTATGAGTTCTGCATGTGGTGCTGTGTCGAGTAATATTACGGCATCGTCCGCGAATGCTGGCTCCCATTGAGGACCAGACCCGATCGCAGTAGCAGTGGAATGCTTGTCCATTATTCTTATGATGGTCAGGTCGTTCTCACCAAGCTCAATGTTCTGGATAGTCATCTTTTTCTCCCGCTGATACGATCGCAGCTCGTTTTGCGATAGCGATGGGAGTGCCATTCGTACAATCTGCACATCCTTCTTGAGCTTCTTACCGAGAGTTGGCCAATCCACCCTTGCTTCAAGGGAAATACCATATTTCTCTTCATCCGTAGTCAAGATTACATCTCGGACATTGAGCTCCTCTCGGATGTAGTCCTTCAAGGAGTCAACGTCGGATATGAATTGGCTGGCAGCAATCACGACGAGGCTCAACAATGGAGTCTTAAGAGATACGTTTCTTTTTTCCCGGGCAACACGACCCAGTTGCATGACTTTTTGTAATGCTGCCATCTTTCTTTCGATAAGTTGATCAAACAATTCCTCTTGGGCCGTGGGAAAAGGTAAAAAATGCACGCTTCTTGTATCTCTAAATGAAGCAAGAACGTCGCCAAGGAACGGCCTAAGCAGGCCATATATGTGTTCAGTGATGAATGGAATAAAGGGAGCCAGGGCTGTGACCAAGGTAAACAGGACCTGTAGTAGAGTATTCAGAGCAGCAGAAGTGTCAGCTTCCCCAAGGCCGGCAGCTCCCTTGAGTCTCTTTCGATTGAATCGAATGTACCAGTTAGTCAAGTCGTCAATCATTTTCAACAACCGTGGAACTACAGTGTATACTCGGTATCCTATATAATATTAGCACCTGAGATTCATGCGATGCAGGGACAAACGCACCGCGCATCTCCTGCTCAATGAATTGAAGCAGACTTTGACACTCAGCCAAGACCCAGCGGTCCATCACGTTGTTCAAGCCACCAGTTGAAAACGTGATATCCGCCACGAAATCTTGGCCAGTTGTCTTCTTATATAGCGCTGCTTGTTCCGAGAAGAATCGATAGCTATTCCATAAGGGAAGCAAAACTTTTGACACAATCTCTTTGACGCCACTCTCCTTGAAGCGAAGTGGCTCTGCTTTTACAACAGGAGAGTTGATGAGGTACAGCCTCAGAGCATCGGATCCATATCTCTCAAATATATGACTCGGGTCTGGGAAGTTCTTTAAACTTTTAGACATCTTCTTCCCATCTTCGGCAAGAACCATGCCATTAACAAGAACATTCTTGAAGGGTGATTTCCCAAAGAGTTTATTTCCAAGCACTGTGAGGGTATAGAACCATCCTCGTGTCTGATCCAGCCCCTCGGCGATAAAATCAGCTGGGAAATGTCCTCCGTCGAACTCGTCGTGGTTCTCAAATGGATAATGAATGGACGCGTACGGCATGGCACCAGACTCGAGCCTTGGTTTGTCAGCCCAGAGAACATCGATGGGCTTATTCTAAACACTTACCAGCAGTCAAAAATTTCTTCAACGCGTCTTAGATCGCCCTTGCCCTTCTTGGAAGGTATAGTGATGTGATCAATCTTGTCACGATGTAAATCATCAATCTCACCAGTGTAGCCGCTCAATCGTCTCAACTCGGCCACGCTACCAACACAGACGACCTCTTCGTAGTCGTCGCTTACCCAAAGTGGTATAGGAGTACCCCAGTATCGGTTGCGAGAAACATTCCAATCGCGGGCATTGGCGATCCAATTCGCAAATCGCTTCTCCTTCACAAACGCAGGCGTCCAGCTTGTCGTGCTTTGCAGGTTCTCCATCATTTGGGGTATGGAGTTTTCGACCTTGATGAACCACGACGACACGGCTTTTCTGATGAGTTGCGTGTCTGACCGCCAGCAGAACTTGTCAACATGCATGATGTGGCTTTCAACAAGGAGGCGACCGGTAGGCCTCAAGTCCTTCATAATAGCTTTGTCCGCAACTTTGACATGGATACCAACATATTCAGGTATTTCAGCAGTAAAACAGCCCTTGTCGTCCACTGGACAAGGAGGCAGGCGACTTGGACCAATAAACCCAGCCGCAAGGGCGGCGTCGTAATCCTCTTGGCCAAATGCAGGTGCCTGATGTACCAGTCCTGTTCCTTCGCCAGCTTCAACATAGTCGGCGGCAATAACTTGGAAGCAATCGGAAAATGTTTTGGTGAAGTAATTGAAAAGAGGTATGTACTTCCATCCGACCAGCTCTTTGCCTCTTAGACGTCCGACGACCTTGTACTTGGCTTTCTTGGGGTCTTTGTAGAGCATGCTCAGACCACTCTCCATAGTGATGTACTGGTTTCCACTCTGTTGGTCAAGTATTTCCAAGTACTCGAGGTCGGGGTGGACTGCGATGAGCAAATTCGAAGGCAGGGTCCACGGGGTGGTTGTGTACACGACGAGAGAAGTGCTTTCCTTGCCCTGGACGCCAAGTAACGGAAAGGAAACCAGGATAGCGGGATCCTGTGTCATCTTTTCGTTTTCCTTGGCCTCCATAAGACTAAGCGGCGTGCAGAGGGCGGTAGAATATGGCATGATGCGGTATGCTCGATATACCTGGTCTTTATCAAAGAGCTGGCTGAATACCCACCACACTGTCTCCATGAATGACGGATCCATGGCCTTGGGACAGTTAGCACAACACGGACTGCTTGGTCAGAATGCCAACCGCACCTTGTAATCATTGTCCATGTCCACCCAGCGACCAAGTCGTTCCATGATCTGCTTCCAGTCCTGGGCATATGTCATGACGATGGCCTTGCACTCGGCATTGTACTTGTCGATGCCCATTTGGCGAACTGCGTCGGGACCAGAGACACCAAACTTCTTATCGATTTGATATTCAATCGGAACGCCATGCGTGTCCCAGCCGAATCGTCGCACTACGTGGTATCCCTTCATGGACCAGTATCTCGGAATAATGTCTTTCAACGTTCCGGTCAAAAAATGACCATAGTGAGGGAGGCCTGTCACGTTGGTCAACAGGGAAGACTTGAGGGCGCCAAAGGACGCAAGGTTGAAATCTCGCAGATTGCTTTGCACGTACCAGTCGCTGTTGTTGGTCATGATCAGTCAATGGTTCGCTTTGCCCAGGGAAGACAGAATCAGAACATACCAAACGGCGGGCCATCGTAGAACGAGAATCTCGGACCTCCTTCTGTCAACCGAAGCTGTGTCTTGAACGCGTCGACTTCCCGCCAAAAGCGGAGAGTCTCCTCCTCGAATTTGGGAAAATTCGCAGTCATGGCGATGCGAGCCAGGAAATGAGGAGCCCGGTGAACTGGTACAGCATAAAACGGTTGCGCTGAACGGTAATGGTCCTGGAGCAATGGTTTTGCAGGTTGTCCAAGTTTGACATTTGTAGTTTCAGGATACTCGGTCAAGTGGGCGGGTGGTGACACTGGCGAGTCGGTCACTCTGGTACGTTGGTGAGTCAGAGGGGCGATTTCGCACCAGATCCATCTCCAGTACGCAGTCAGCGACTACTGTGTCATTTTCAGACTCTAGACGCCGCATCCCCATTGCATCTAATAGGATGAGGCTGACAAGGACGAGTCCCAAGTTTCCATTTCTTTCTGGATTTGTTTTCAACTCGTACATGGGCCAAGTCGCTTCTGTGGATGCCAGACTTGGTGAACTTGCCATCAACTCATCGGGATTAGGACCTCTACGATTGTGTGGGTGGAACTGTTATGCACGGGTGGTATGAGGGCTCGAGGTGGGAAAGGCGAAAGGGTTTTACTTTCATGCCAAAATCAGCCAGCAAGTTATCCCAATTTGCGCTTCACTGCCCGGAGAAGATGGCGGCAGATGGTCACGACTTCACGACTCGCGACTCACGACACTGCGCCCAAGTTGCAGCCGTTCGCAGGCAGCATACTTCAGCCACGAGACGACGGTTCAGCCAGACTCGATTCCTTGTCGCTACTCAGTACCTAGCCTAGTTTCTAGGTAGGTATTGTGCAATGCCGAACGACCTGTACGGCTTGGATCAAGGGTGGCGCAAGGGACAAGGGAAGTCACGGTTGAGATGCAGTGCCAAGCTTCCTCGACTTGCCTCACACTGTCCAATCATGTGGAAGGTGGATTGATGCCAAATTTTATTACAATCTAGCAAGAACTCAACCTCTTCCTTGGAGCTATACGGGTGGCCGTGTGTTCTCTCCTTGTCCTTGCTCCTCCACTGCTTGTGTCTTTTGGCGACTAGCATTCCGTCAACAAGAGGAACCCGAAGCAGTGGTTGTGTCTCCTACAGCAGAATATTTTTATCACATTCACTTCTATCAACTTGCCCTGATTACATATCCCCTAGCAAGGCTGTGCTCATCGACCTCGTCGCCTATCACTTTCACTAGTCGAGCAACCCCGACGAGAAATCCGCAGCCATGTTTCCCCCAATGCTGGGGTACAACTGCTTCATATCGCCCATTGAACCTAAGCGAAAACGTAGCAGCAAACATAGACGTACATCCACCCAGTCGACTAGATCCCACACAAAAAGCTCAGATGCAAGACCACATGGCAGTCATCGAACCACCTCGACCCATGATTCTCCGCTGAAAAGACACCACAACCAGGCGAGTCCACCTGCTGTACATGCATCCGCGCCGTCGCATGCTCTACCTCATGGAAATCCAAAGCCGGTCCCGCTATCAAAGCCGGCTCCGCTATCGGCGGAATCAGACAATGGCAAAACATCACTTCGGGCCTCCATGTCCAAACCACCGGCACCCGTCGAAGTCACTCCGTGCGGGCAAAAGTCCTGCCCCAAGAGGACCCATGGCAAGGAAGCAGCCTGCAAGAAGTGTAACAGTGCAGCCGAGGACATCATCTCCACATCGAAATCGAAATCGACCCCAGAGTCAAAGCCGCCACATCGTCGCTGGTCAATATGGTCTTGGTGGTGGACCTCGGCGAAAACAACCGAGGAACCGCAAGATGGATGGCGATGTTTTGGCAAGTAGAATTCAAGCAGGAGGTGCTCTTTCTGTATCTAGCCACCGCAAATGTATAAGTCTATAATGGATCATTAGGTCTCGGTGGGATATGGAAACGAGTTTGTGGTCTGAGGAAGTTGATTATGGATTATTGAATACCTACATGCTACCGCCCGCCTACTACCTCAATTGATATCACGCATTTGCTGCTTCACCATGCTATGAGCCTGTAAGAAGCTCATGATACAGCCAGGACGTACGATGCTCCGGATAGCTGAAATTATCCCCTGCCTCCAAGAACCCGGAGCAGTGAAGTCAAACAAATCTGGCTCATGGATGGGGCGATGTCACTGGGAGCATCGAGGTCCCAAGTCCCCGATTTCGTACTTGATCAATAATGGTTTTCACACCCTGTATATCATCTGCCCGGTCATATTCCAGCTTTCTCTCGTGGTAAACCATATTGGACCTCCACGTGGCAAAACATCACAGGAACCATGACTTTATTGCCATCATCTTTCAAGACGGACTCGTAACCTAGTAGTCCTGCTGTGGCTCAAGCCCTCGTGGTGCGTTTATCGATGTGATGGTACTCAGGTCTCCCTAAACATGACTACATGAACCAAGGTAGCCATACAAAAAGTGTCTTTTCATCCATTCAATACCCAACGGGGCACTGCAAAGCCTGGTCCCCAAATACATCACAAACATCGATAAACCCGCCCCAGTGCCACCCACCTCCTATGTAACTCAAGTGCAGAGAGCATCGCCCAAGGCGGTGCTATAGGTGCAGACGTTTCCGGTATTATTACACCATGCAGTCAGCGTTAGGTGCCCACCGGGACAGCCTACAGCAGGAACAAACCTGGGGGTCTTGCGCAAGCAACTTGATAGATGGCCAAGTTGCCAGCTCTTCCCCCCTCGGTGTGGGACGAGCCAAGTAACTCACGATATGGCTGGGCTCGCAAGTCTCACTGTCCCGTTCCATGACCATCTCCATCTTGCCATTGATCTTCTTGTTCACCGGCTTTCTAAGTTTGTACGGGCCGTTGCCACCGTTAATCTTGACGCATGTCTATACGTAGGCGCGGATATGAACCGATTAGCTTTGCGAGATGCCCGGAGCAGGGGGACGTCCACTTCCACCCGTTAGATAGAGGTGGTCGCCTTCCATGGCGGTCACGGCGGCGCCGATGAAAAGGGCGGCAAAGGCGAGAGAGAACTTCATTTTGAAAGGAGATTGGTTATGATGTGATTTGCGTCAGAGTTTTTGGTTTTTTCCTTGGCATGTCTCGGTGTGATTGCGGCGATGGAATGAAGCGGCTGTTGAAAAAGGCGGCCGGGCTTGGGTTTTGATACCTTTTCCATGTGAACAGTCCACGATGGGAACAGGCTCAAGAAACAGTAATATGATGGCACAACAGACAAGTGAATATCATTTCGCGCAGTGCATGCGTGCTGGACCATCTGAAGTTCCAGCACAACTGAGACATGACGGGAGCACGAGCTTAATGGCCCTTATTGTCCTGGTTGACCGCTGATGTCTTTCATCCATGTGCCCTCCCCTGTTCGCGGATTGTTTCTCACGTGTTCTGTGGTAGCCCTCTCCTTGTCCGTGGATTGGTTTTCATTTGCTTCGGGGTAGTTGCTGCTACTCTACTTCCCGCATCCGGAAGTATGAGGCTTTTCGTGATGGGATCACGTTGTCAGTTGGAGCTGTTCGGGCAACCACTGGCCCGTGTGGCACGTACAGGTTGAACTTTTAATAACGCAAATTCTGCCTATTTGGAACATGTACAAGTCTTAATTGAGTAATTATTGGGGAGGGTTGCCTGAAGAGCGATTTTTTCGTCGGCTGAATAGCACACGAGTCCGTATTATTCTGCCTAGGTATCTGTAGCAACTACTCCAATGCTTGACCCAGACTATTTACCGGAGCAGGATGAGGTATTTGTCTCCAGAGGAACTAGGGACAAACAGAAATTCTGTGAGATTGTATTTATTCCGTGTCGTCTCTTGCTTTTTGGCCGTGCCCACCAACACAAGCTGGCATGAGGCTCTGCCTAGCAAAAAACCAAAAACCATCATATCAGATTCCATTGATCCAAATCCCAGAATCCGCATCACACCACACCAGGTCCCTGGGCTCGTCAAGCCCAAGAGACTCGTGTTCGATCCTTCTTCATAGCAACCCACAACGTCGCTATCAACACCATCCATCACCCGCCCGGAAGCCCGAAACCGACACACTAATCTGCGACTACGGCAAACATGGTGCATGTGAGATGTCACATGTTGTCGACACATGATTTGCGTATCATTTCTAGAGGAGATGACCAAGATTGGCAATCCTCGGCGGAGCTGTACCGTCTAAGCCGGATGCTTTAAGCACTTGGATGTGACGGGCTTGGGCTGCGACCGCGGAAGTGGGAAACAATGCACACCAACAACAGCAGATGAAGAGGGTGGGTGAGTGGCGTGAGGGCCGGAGACATGGATGCCTTCGAGGGTTGGGTACATGTGCTTGAGGGCTGAAGGTGTTTGCTCAAGTCGTGCAAAAAGTGCGTATGCGTAATCATGAGAGGCTGTGGGTAAAAATGACGGGTGCCGTACGGTGTATGTATGACACAGTACAAAAACAAGATCAATTTGAACTACACCATTTTCATCACTAAAACACCCACACCAATCTACCGTGTCTGTCATGGCGAATGACGGACCATGCCCTCGCAGCTTCGAAAGAGAAAGAAAAATAGAAACAAAGCTTTTAAGCGTGCCACAGATACAGTATATCTCAGGTCTCCAGCAACATAAACAAAGAAAAACAGACAAAAAAATGACCACAACAAAAAATAAAACAATCAATATATACCAGCTCTAAAGCAATCGTACCGTAAACAATGGGGTATCAAGATTTTGCACGTGTTGCATACTGTCCATTTCTCCAGCTCGCCAATTCGTGTTCTGTTGTCTCCAGACTTGGGGCTGTGCAGTTTCAGGTAATCAGAACGCTTGGAAAAAAAAAACTTTTCATGCAATCTAAGTGAGTCTAGCCGTGAGAATCAAGCTAGCCATAAGAATATGGAGGTTGAAACCCCCCCTGTGAAGTTCGTCCATATGACCGATAAG